GGAGGAGCTGCTGGCTGCTTGTGAAGGAAGCAGAAGGTGAGTAGAAAGGAGAAAGATAGTGGCCCATATAACTATAAACCAAGAATACCAATAAGACATTTAGGGTAAGTGCGCTTGAGATTGTAATTTTATTTCAAAATGACTGGCTTAGTTCAGTGTAATACTTGTTTTACCGCTGTCTTTTGCAGTACTCTTCAAACTTGGATACTGTCCTCTTTGTAAAAAAATTACCAGTCTACATGGACAGATTACCTATCTATAATCTCTAATCTGTGCTCTCCAAGCAGAATTTAGGTGCCCAATCCAGCCATCTATTGAGCTGCTGTGCTACCAGCCCCAACTACCACAAAGATCCTACAGGAAAAGGGCAGTATGGACAACCGTGGGATCTGGCAGGGTGAGAGCTGTGGACCATACACGCAAAGCTTTTGCTGTGTCCCAGCATAACAGATACAGTGCCCTTGCTGACCTTAATAGGGACACTAAAGTGACAGGTCAAGGTAGTTGTGATAATGATAACTGAAGTAAGCCGGGGATCATGGTCCTAGGAGAAGAACTTACTTTGAAAAGGAGAAAGTGTGAATCAGGTATTACGCACCAGTCACACAAGAAGAGCAAGACATCCAAAAAGACAAGCCACTTTCTGGTTGGGGACTTGATTGTAAGGGATGTAAATTTAGGAAAGGATACTGAGGTTTTGAAAGAGGTCAGGTGTCTACCAGGTGCTACTGCCAGCAGAGACAAAAAGCGTATTCTTAAGATAGTCAAGAATGCCAGCAAGGACTGTGATGTTGATGCTATTATACATCTCGGTACAAATGATCTGTCCCAGAAGGATGTACTTTCGGTTCAGAAAGACTTCCAGAGCTTGGGGTATGAACTTAGTAACATGGGCTGTAGGCTTATCCTTTCAGAAGTTCTACCAGTATACAAGGAACAAAAAGGGAAAGGGAAGCGTGTAGCAGAGTTGGCTAAAGGAGTGTGGTAAAAGGGAAGGCTTTGTTTTTATTAGTCATGATTCTGTAGCTGGTCCAATGAAAAACTGTACAAAAGAGATGGTTTGCATCCATCAAAGAAAGGTACTGAGTTACTTGGCATTAAATTCACAGATTTCCTGGATAAACATTTAAACTGAACAGCGGGGACAGAGAATTAATGGATTCAGAACGTTTCTGTCCCCAGCAACCTAAAACTAATAAGGATACCAGTGCATGCAAAATAGATGTTTGTGCAGATAAGATTATCAACCTTGATGTCAACCACAACCAAGCATTTAATAGTGGGTGCCATACCATGTGTACTAATCAAACAGGTGGCAAGAAAGTAGGGACAGGCAGGCACAACACAGGTTATGTAGACAATAAACACAGTGTCAGACATAAAGATCTCAAGTGCCTATATACAAATACACAAAGTCTGGGGAACAGAGTGAACTCGAACTACGAATACATGAAGGTAAATATGATATGGTTGGAATAACAGAAACTTGGTGGGATGAAACCCATGACTGGAACATATTGGTAGAAGGATACAAACTATTTAAAAAAAAAAGACCCCATAAAAGAGGAGGTGGAGTTGCAATGTATGTAAAGGACCACTATATTGCTACAGAAATGCATGAAACCAAAGATGAAAACCTCCTAGAATGCATATGGGTCAATATAAAAGAAAAAAAAATGACATGGCCATAGGTGTATATTATAGGCCACCCAATCAAGCAGAAAATATAGATGTCCTTTTTTTCCAGCCAACTAACAAACATATGCAGGAAACATACAACAATAGTAATGGGAGACTTCAATTATCTTGATATCAATTGGAAAACTAATTCTGCACCAAGCGAGAAATCAAATGAATTCCTAACCAACCTAGCTGACAACTTTGTTGTCCAAAAGGTAGAAGGTGAAACTAGAGGGACAGCCATACTGGACTTAATTCTTACAAAGAGAGAAGAAGTGATAGATGGAGTTGAAACTGCAGGAACCTTGGGTGACAATGACCATGTCATATTAGAATTCAATATAACACAAACACAAGCAACAGAACATGATGACACCAGAGTCTTGGATTTTAAAAGAGCTGATTTCAATAAACTCAGAGAGAACTTGGGAAAGATTCCATGGATGAAAATCCTAAAGGGGAAAACAAGTCAAGAATCTTGGGAAGCTCTAAAAAGTATGATCATAGAAGCCCAGACCAGCACAATACCACTGAGAAAGAAAAACAAACACTCCAAGAAGAAACCAGCATGGCTGCACAAAGATCTCTCTGGCAAATTGAAAGAAAAAAAGGACAAGTACAAAAAATGGAAAGAACGACATACAACTAAGGCAGAATATCAGCAGATAGCCAGAATTTGCAAAGACGAAGTCAGGATAGCAAAGGCTCAGAACGAACAAAGACTTGCAACAAAAGTCAAAGATAATAAAAAAAAAGTTTCTTCCAACATATAAATAACAAGAAAAAAATCAAGGAAACAGTCAGTCCATTAAAGAGAGAAGACGGCAAGGAAGTAACAGGCAACAGAGAGAAAGGAGAACTGCTTAACTCATTCTTTGTATTGGTCTTCACACAAAAAGAAACTATAGCTCAATCCACCCAAAACATAACTGTAAAAGACAGACCAGAAATAAAAGTTAAAATAAGCAAAAAAAAAATAGTAAGAAAACACCTGTCTGATCTTGATGAAAACAAATCACTGGGGCCTGATGGATTACATCCCAGAGTTTTAAAGGAGCTGGCAAAGGTCATCTCAGAACCACTGCACCATATCTTTCAAAAACCCTGGAGCACCGGGGAACTACCAGAGGACTGGAAAAGAGCTGATGGGGTTCCCATCTTCAAAAAAGGGGAAAAAAAACAGACCCAGGAAACCACAGACCAATTAGCCTAACATCAATACCCAGGAAGATACTAGAAAGGGTAATAAAAAAAACAGATCTGCCAACATCTAGAAACAAGTAAAGTAATAACTAGCAGTCAGCACAGGTTTGTTAAAAACAGATCATGCCAAACCAATCTCATTTCATTCTTCAACACAGTGACTAAATTAGTAGATCAGCAAAATACTGTGGACATAATATATTTAGATTTCAGCAAGGCATTCGACAAAGTAGACCACTACTTCTTAGTAAGCTAGAAAAAAGTGGAATAGATAGCACCACCACTAGATGGACTCGCAACTGGCTGGCAAACTGTATTCAGTGAGTAGTCCTTAATGGGTTCAAGTCTTCATGGAGGGAGGTAAGCAGTGGGGTGCCACAAGGTTCTGTCTCAGGCCCAGTACTCTTCAATATCTTAATTAACAACTTAGATGAGGGAATAGAAGGGGAACTTACCAAATTTGCAGATGATACTAAGCTGGCAGGAATAGCTAACACCCAAAAAGATAGGCTCAAGATCCAGATGGATCTTGACAGACTAGAACACTGGGCCATATCTAACAAAATGAAATTCAGTGTAGAGAAAAGTAAAGTCCTACACTTAGGCAAGAAAAAACAAAAGTACACATGTAGACTGGGTGAAACCAGGCTCAATAGCAGTAACTGTGAGAGGGATCTTGGAGTCTTAGTGGACAACCAACCAAATATGAGCCAGCAGTGTGCAGCAGTAGCCAAAAAAGCTGATGCAAGCCTAAATTGTATTAACAGAGGGACACAATCAAGATCAAGGGAAGTTCTAATACCACTCTACAAAGCCTTAGTAAGACCTAAGAGTACTGCATCCAGTTTTGTTCACCACATTATAAAAAAGATGTTGAGACTCTAGAAAAAGTACAGAGAAGAGCAACCAGGATGATTAGGGGACTGGAGGCTAAAACATACAATGAACGTTTGCAGGAACTGGACGTAGCTAGTCTAGTAAAGAGAAGGACCAGGGGAGACATGATAGCGGTCTTCCAATATTTGAGGGACTGCCACAGAGAGGAAGGGGTCAAGCTATTTTCTAAAGCGCCTGTAGGCCAGACAAGGAATAATGGATGGAAACTGAACAAGGAGAGATTTAACCTTGGAAATAATGAGAAACTTTCTGACAGTGAGAACAATCAACCAATGGAACAGCTTGCCCTCAGAAGTTGTGAGAGCACCATCACTTGAGACTTTAAAGGAGAGATTGGACTGCCATTTGTCAGAAATGGTGCAGGGTCTCCCGCTTGGGCGGGGGGTTGGACTAGATGACCTACAAGGTCCCTTCCAACTCTGATTATCTGTTATCTGTTACCTCACACTGGATTCACTAAACATAAGTTAATATATGGTTCTCTGATGTATGATTACTGTATTGTGTAAACTCAACCAAATAGCAGGACTATTAGTTATGTTTAACTGTTTGAGCTCTGTGAACCAAGTCTGTCTTTTCACTTCGCTGATGGGAAATAAGTTTATTGTCAATCTTGCTCTCATCATTTTGAATTAAAATACTAATTTTTGTAATCAATATAAAATATATAAGGTAGAACTAAAATAGTAATTCCAATTGTTTTGAAATCATGACTTCTATAATCCCTGTGTATTTGTCTCGGGTTTCTGGGAATGCTAGTCCTGATCATTTGGAGAACAATATTTGAGAGTTTATTTTGCAATGCTTAATTGAAGAAGGGAGGTAAAGCAAGGTACATCATTAGAAGTTTTAAATTATAATTCTACCACTTTTTGCTCTTGGCACTGCTGGTGGGGCAGAAGGAGCTGGAACCCACAACATCCAGAAGCACTATATTAGTTAAACTAGATGCACAGGTATTTTGCTGTTGTAGTTGGGTTAATCAAACACTTCCTTTCCTGCAATATGTCAGTGTTCAGGCTTAGAAGCATCACTACACACCTAATAATTCTTGTTGGTATAAATCTCTCAAGAGTGACTGCTTCATAACATAATAAAACTATGTAATATGGCCCTGTTTTGGAAAAGGCTGCTAGCTAACCTGTTCAAAATTTTTATGCAGAAGCCTCCAGTGAAAGTGGTTGATAAGATTTACAAACAATTCCCAGTCTCTATGGAAATTAATGTAGCTTTTATGTAAGGAATTCATTTATCTTAAAGAGCTATCAAAGTAACAATTTTGAATAGCCTTTTATAACTTGGAGAAGTAGCTCTTAGAGGGCAATTCACACATTTCAAATGTAGCTAATTTCTATATTGTGCCATATAAATGAAACAGGTACAAATGTTAACCAACTAGCTTTCTGATTTTTAGTTTACCATCAACTTCTTACCATGTTCTAAAAATTATTTTGTTTTTCCACTAATCCTATACTATACTAAAAATATATATTTACTGGTGGAACAGATTCTATAGCAATTTGACCTTTAGCATTATCCTAGCCTTTGCATCTACTACTACAATTCAGCTCATTTATTTTATTAAGGTCAATTCCTAAAAAAATAGGTGCGAAGACTTTCTCTTTTGTGAAAATGTCTTGGGATGTGGATTAAATCAATTCTAGGTAATCTGACTTAAATTGTCAATACTAGCATCCTGTGCTGAAAAATATTTTTATAATGTGACTCATTCAGTCTGATCAGGATGATATAATGCATAAGTCAATTTTATTTTGAATGTCACTATCCATAAGTTATCAACATTTCAAAACTCTAGCCCAAGAAAATTGCCTACTCTTACTGTATACTGAAAATCTATTTCAGCCTTCCCCATTCTCCAGATGGAGTGGGACAAAACCCATATCATCCCAAAGAAGCATATCAATTATCTTTGCTGGGGATGTTGAGTCTTATTGTCTACCATATCTGTAAGTCCTTGCCAGTTCAAAAATTATTCTTTAAATTCCTTGGGTATTATTTTCTGAAGAAAAAAATAAGCACTTTCTTTTGTATTTATCTCCAAAACAATATCTCTCCTGTGAACATATTTTAAATCCTGTACCTTTTTCTGGCAAATTCTGAGACGACATGTTGGAGTCCAATGGGATGGTGCAATTTTGGGTTTTCTCCTTTGAAGCTTGTTGCTCACTTTCTTCTGCGATTCTGCTCTCCTATATCCATCCCCCCAAAAAGCCCACATGCATGAGTATTGAGAAATTGCATTTCTTGGCAAATGTCTGTTCAAATTCAGATAATGAAACCTAATAGCAGCCTTCCTGGTGCATAGGAAGGAATTGCCCACAGGGAGTTGCTAATAAAAAATATTAGAATGGCAATTTTGATTAATTATTTGTAGTTGCTCTCTTAATTTTTTTTTTGGCCCTTTGCCCATGTCTGCCAGGCTCAGTGCCCTATCTCATTCCTTTAAAAATGAAAATCTGGAATTCAATAAATAAAACATCTCACACAAAATGGGACAATGGAAAGAGTGGAGAGGTAGATAAGATGGTGAACAATCAATCTCATCAATTGGCTTCCTGATTATAATAACAGTTATTAAAATATTTTTAAATATGGTTCTGAAAGCTATTTATGAAGATACAATCAAGCCTGCAGATTAATAATGCTACTGAAAATATGCTCAAATTCAAATATAGCTAATCATTTTTTACAAGTTGTTCAGTTTTGATAAAGGCTGCTTGATATTGAAATGGTACACCCCATCTATAACTGCCTTTCGGCTCCTCCACTCTTTCCTGTCTCTTGGAAGCCTCCTGTTCTCAACTCCTCACCTCTGTTGTTCTGTTGCTGGTTAGTTCAATCTATATATTCCCCCCCTTTATTTTTATAGATTATTTTAGTTTTAGAATAAATGAGCCCTTTTTTGCTACTTTTTCTGAAATTATTCTCAGTCTTCTGCATTCCATATATTTCATTATTCTTTCTTTCTCTGGTCCTAATTTCTTTACCCTGTGGTTTCTGATTATGTTTTTCTCCCCTTTAGTGCCTGGCATCCAACTTTTCTTTAAGCCACTCTGCCTTTTGGTTAAACATCTGGTGCTTTCTTAGCCCACATCCAAAAAAGCCAGGAAAAAAATATATGCCAGGGCTCCTATGAGCAAACCATATGTACTTTGCTTTGGGGAGAGAAGGCTTGTCACATTCATAGAATTACAAGATAAGTCACTAAAAATCCTGGCATGTCTAGACCAACGCAGCCAGAAACAAGTACTAGTGTAAGTCAGAAGACAGATTGACCCAGGTCTTTCCCTACTTACACCTAACCAAGATGTAAATATATCCCAACAACATTTTCTCTGCCATATTCCCAGTTTTTGTCTTAGTTTCATCCATTGCCTCAGTCATCTGTATAACTACTAAAGTATTTTTTTCATATTCTGACAAGGGTAGTGTTAAGGTATATAAAATTGGTCAGGTTTTCTCACTATCTTAGTAACGACAGTGACAGTAAACAAAGCAATAGAGGTAGAAGGAATCTGCAAGGGGTTACAAATGTCAGACTGGTTTTGTTTCATGCCACCCAAAGAGAGGTAGAAAACACCAACTCAGCATAGTATCCTGGGATGGGGGGAGGTCTAATGAGCAAGTCTCACCAGTCATAACAGTTTATGCAGATATTTTGTCTTTTTTTTAATAAGCCTACTTTATGACAGCCTAGCCTAGGTGATAGGAAAAGATAGGGAAGCTGTTCTTTTAGTTTACATTACTTTATTGTCATTGCACCTGTACAACAAAATCAAACGCCATCTTCCGTGCACATCATGACCATGAAAATAAATACAAACACACATCCTTCAAACTCCATATATTGAACACATTTTATGGATCTTTTGAAGCCAGGGGATTACAAAATGCAGTAAAAGCATGGATCACAAGTAACCATTCTTAACAAAGGGTAATTTCCATGCAAACACTCGGGCTTAGACTTGTTCCGCTTTAAAGATTAAGCGCCTTAATCTTAGCGCCTTCCAGAACTTATCCTACAAACTTCGGGAGTTTGAAGACCACGTTTAAAAACAGGCAAGGTCTCCAATGGCCAGAAGATTATTTGGGCCCTCCATTTTGCTCGCATCCACCTAACCCTCCTGGCCGCCCACCCGCCCCCATTATCTGCGCAGGATTTTCCCCAATCCGACCACCTGCATCAGCCGCAGCCGGTGCTCCATTATTATCTGCTTGCGGCGCGCTTCCCAATGGTAGGCAGCCATTCTGCAACGTGCTATTCTGAGGCTTGGCGAGAAGAAACCACAGCCTTGGTTGCAGTGACCAAGGGCCAGCAAGTGAAGACACAATACTCTGACGCCGGGCAACTCAAGGGATGCCAGCCGCTCCTTCCTGCACGTAGCACAATTGGCCACCAGAGAGCACCGAAAGCCAAGAGCCCTGGTTTTTCTTGTACTATAAAGCGAGGAGGGAGGTGGAAACAATGGAAATCTTAAAAGTCCCAGTCAAATTCGAGGAGCGAGCTGGCCGTTATCGGTAAAGCAAGCTCCTCTCGCGAAGGTTCCGCTTTGTAAGTCTTTGGAGTTAACAAGAGTTCCGCACAGTGTGGCGTTACTGCCAGTTCAAAGCATGCGTTTACTAAGGATCTTAAAACTTTCGTTTCACTTTGCTGGGAATAGAAGTAGTGACTACGGTTGCTCAGGAGAGTAAGTTATTACGCTAAGCACATGTTTCTGAACACTAGACTGGAACATTTCTCCTCAGCCTGGTCGGCTGAAGGTGGCTTCTTTCCCATATAGCGGGGAGAGTTATTTTGGAAGTCTTTGAGTGCCTCCGATGACAATTCGTTGCGATGTAGAAAAGTGCAGACTTAAGTTTACGAACTTCTTCATACAAAAGCAGAGCCCGTAGACTTTTCTACTGTAGCATTTATACGAGCCCAACCAACCCATTAGGCCAGAGGTCTTCAAGCTTGACAGCTTGTGGACTTCAACTCCAGGAATTCCTCCTCCAATTATGTTAGCTCAGGAATTCTGAGAGTTGAAATCTACAAGTCTTAAACTTGCCTTGCTGTAAACCTTGTCTGTAAACCGTGATTTACGGGTAAATGTTTGCGAACACAGGCAGGCGGCCCATAACTCGGAATTCTTTTGAATATCTGGTCCTCAAATTTCGAAACTGGGAGAGCGATTTCCCGGGAAAGAATACGCTTGCCTATATTCTAGAGCAGGGGTCTCCAACCTTGGCAACTTTAAGACTTGAGGACTTCAACTTGAGGACTTCAACTCCCAGAGTTCCTCAGCCAGCAAAACTGAGGAACTCTGGGATTTGAAGTCCACAAGTCTTAAAGTTGCCAAGGCTGGAGACCCGTCTGGAGTGTTGTCTCCGCCTTGATTTCATGCCTTTCACAAGTGAGTCGGAAGCTCACAGTGCCCCAACATTCCACGTTGAAGTAAAACGGGCAGTGATTGCCCTAGGAAATAAACTGTGTGACTGATGGAAAAAAATAAATTTTGCACACCTGCCCGGGGACACACTATGGCTTCATTTTCAGCTTTCATATAACCCCGGGTTAAGGTACAGACCTGGGGACTAAAAGTAAATCGTGCCGCAACGATTCGCTCAGCCCAGGCTTCCCTTTCAAACAACTCCCGGACCAAGCGCTGTACAAGCGGCAACTCTCGCGAGCCTTTAGTTGGCCCTCCTCCTTGGTCCCGCCTCCAGCACGGTCCCGCCCCTTTGCAGCCGTCCAGACAGGCGCTGAGTGGTGCCGTAGAAGTCCCGCCTTCTTTTCGCCGCGGCCGCAGCTTCTCTTTCTGTAGTTGGCGGTTGGGCGCGTGAGGAGTTTCTGCAGTGCTGGCTGAGTTTTTGCGGATGCGGGTGTTCAGCTGTCAGCTTGGATCCCTGATGGAGGTAAAGTTCCTGCTAGTTCTCGTTAGGCAGATCTGAGTTTGGCCTGGATCTGGGCGCCTATTTTCAGCACTAAATTAATTTAATGTTGCAAATCGAAAGAGTATTGTAAATTAAAAATTCACCAGCATATACGAGGAGTTATTTCTCTCTCTCCGGGGAGTGATTACAGACCACACTGCCTTTCGCTCGGTGGTTGGGACATAAATCCAGGGCGATGCCTCTAAGCGGGCTTAATTCTTTTCCACTGTCCATATTCTCTAAAAGAAATGAGCAGCTTAGAGATAAAAGATTTGGATCACTTGCGCAGTCTCTCGTCGCTCACCTGTCTGTTAGAAGCCGCTCCGTGAAATTTGCGGCCACCTCACTTTAAAGTAGTTTATAATTAAGGCAACAAAAAGACCCCACTTTTTTTTTTAGTTGTAAGAAAGTAAAAAGCTTCGGGGAGTAACTTTGTATGCAGGCTCCCTCTCTGATGCATTTGTTGGCTGAAAGTTTGTCGGTTCACGTTTTTAAGATGCAGCCTTAACTTTACAAAGGCTACTGCTGTCGTTTGCAGTTGACAGAGCTAGGTTTGAAGCCTACAGTCTGTCTGCTTTCTAGTCTACTTTTGGATGCGAACCTTGCTCTTTCTTTGTATAGAAAGGCACTGAACATCCATATCTAAATCTGATTATAATGTCCAAGTCCAGCTGGGTTTAGGAGGGAAGGAAAATTACTCTTCTGATTATAAACAAATATCCTTTCCACCCATATATGAAGAACAATAATACAGTGGCTGTCATATTAGAAAGCATGATACAGCCTTGTTTTATAGGAAATTTTGTGCCTGTTTGTAATCGATTGAAGGCTGACTGGAAAAATCTCGGTGAAAATTGATTCTGTTTTCAGGTTATGAGTTACCCAAAATTGCGGAGGGGATATTACTTAATTCTGGCTGATCATTACTATCTTCTGGCCTTTATGTGGATTGGGAGATATTGTTTGTCCTTTAGAGTAACAAAGCAAAATTCCTTCTGGTATCCTAATTACATTTTACTACATATACTAAAGCCTATTTGGATTAAATTTAATTCATGAAATTTTATATACTGTAATAATAACATTTTTCATAAGTCCATTCGATCACAACAGATTTAACCTGCATTTGTTAGAATTAAAGATGAAAGAACACATTTTATTTGTGAAACAATGGTGTGTGTGTGTATTATTTTTTTCTTAAGTTTTCGCGGGTACTTACATGTATGGCATTCAGCTTTGTTCGGGTATTTTCCCACGTCATTGCAGTTGTGCTTTTAAAGTTGTAGCAACGTTTCGGCAGAATCTCATCATGAAGCCTGATGATGGCAGATGAGATTCTGCCGAAACATTGCTACAACTTTAAAAGCATAACTATAATGACATGGGAAAATACCCGAACAAAGCTGAATACCATATATGTAAGTACCCGCAAAAACATAAGAAAATTATATATATATATTCAAATAGATGGGGAAAATTTTATAATACAAAAATAAAGATTAATCATGTTAGTCATACATTCTAAATTTTGTTTTAGCCTAATAAAATTATTAGGCTAACTCAGAAAAAAAGTACAAGCTTTGGATATCAGATTATTTAATGTAATGAGGGATCTTACTTTAGGAATAGTCTAGACTAGACCAAGAATTTGCAACAGAATCTGTCGAATCTTGTCTGCTGCAAAGGAATGTCCCAATAGCTATTATGTAGGTGGGTTCCTTTATTATATGTCAGGACAATATAAAGTTTGGCTTATGATATTTGAGATTAATCTATTAATTTAGATTTATTTTGGATATCTGAAGACTATCTTCATACATGATATAGGTACTGAAGAAAAACTACATCAATTTTGTTCTTAGTATCCAAAAAATGGACCTTGCATATGTGGCAAATGCTAGGATGATGAAGATGAAAATTACATCTTTAGACATGATCCATGTACTGTATGCTTTCATGGGTTTAAATTAAGTATTAACTCTGACTCTTGTCACAATTTCTTAGCTGTCGTGAGCAGTGATCATCAATTGGTGCTTTTCAAGATTTGGTGTCTATTCAATGACTATGGGGAATCAGTTGGCACCTGTGCCTCCTTTCCTGCCTCACTTGCAGGCTCTGCATGTGGTCATAGTTGGATTAGATGCAGCTGGCAAAACATCTCTGCTTTACCGTCTGAAGTTTCAGGAGTTTATCAAGAGTGCACCTACCAAGGGCTTCAACATGGAAAAGATCCGAGTGCCACTGGGAACCTCTCGCATCATCACTTTCCAAGTATGGGATGTGGGCGGCCAGGAAAAACTGCGTCCTCTCTGGAAATCCTACATGCGCCGAACAGATGGGGTTGTTTTTGTAGTTGACTCAGCAGAGGTTGAACGTTTGGAAGAGGCTCGAGTTGAATTGCACAAAATTACACACTCCTCAGACAATCAGGGAATTCCTGTGCTTGTGCTGGCTAACAAACAGGATGTGGCACATGCACTCTCTGTAGCTGAGGTGGAGAAGCACCTTGGCTTACATGAACTATATACTTCAACTTTGAGCCACATCCAAGGTTGCAGTGCCATTAGTGGACTAGGCCTTCAGCCAGCTCTGGAAAAACTGTATGAAATGATTCTTAAACGCAAAAAACTCCTTCGCAATGGTAAGAAGAAGTGCTGAGAAACAATGTTTCCACCTGGACAAAAGTTAATAATCATTCCAAGCATGATTCATGGCAATTAATGGACCAGGTCTTCAGTTTCTTCCTTAGTGGTTTTTAATTATTGGACTAAAGGGTTGTTTAATATCTAAACATTTATCATGTCTACTTTCCTCTTACCCTAAAGAGAATGAATATCTGTCTAGACTGGGGAGGGATAAAGTTTTTTCAAAGTAATGGGTTGTGCTCTATGTGTTCAGTAAACCCTTCATAGTTAAGTTTACCTTTAAAAATATCTCCTTTGACTCTTTTCAAAGGCTCTTGTTTTTTACATAAAGCATAACTTAAATTATTAAACAAATTGTTTGTGGGCTTCAACAAGGCATTTTTGTCATCTTCAATATATTAATCAGGCAACTGGAGTGAGGAGGAGCTACCAGCTTCTTTGGGAAAAAGCAAGCATCAGATGGTATTTCTTGGAAAGACGAGTAGCATTTCACCTTCAGCAAAGCCCTGCTGGACCTCAAGGCACTATAGATATCATCATTTACTCTTCTCAGCATTTGCAGATTACATGAGCAAGAAGAATGAGGAAAAGGCAGCTGAAACTGTTTATATTTTCTTGGATCCTTCACTTTTTCTAATAATGGCAGTCTCTACTTTTTTTTTTAATAGAACAGCCAACTAACTCCCTCATCTCATTAAGAACAGAGTATGCCTTATTCCCAGATAGGCTAAAGCTTTGGCATAGTTCATTTTAGAAATAAAGTATTGGATATACCTTTGCCTGAGAGGATGAATTGGCTTTGAATTGTATGATTGGAGAGAAAGGTAAAGGAACAGAGCGGTTCATAAAATGAGACAACGATGAGTAGCAGGTGTTTCTTTTCTGATAATACTTCCCACTTCCAAGCACAATTAGCAGAAGTCTAGATTTGGCACAGCTTATACTTTGACAAGAGTTTGAATTGAGGCAGTACTTCCAAATGAAATTTTCAAGGCCTAGGTTACTAGGTTCTAGTAAAGAATAATTTTAAAAAGCGAAGTTTGTTAGAAGAATAAATTGCCTATGATTAATAAATTATTTTCAGTGTGATTTTATGCTGTGCGTTTTTTAAAATCTTTCTATTTATCTTTAAATTTCCTTTGCTTTGGTAGACAAAACTGAACATAAGTATAATATTTTTCTAAGCATATAATCATTCCAGTCAAACAACTAACTCATATCTAGGCTGAAGGGCAACGGGAGCAAGGTCCTTAGGTAAAATTGTGCTCCCAGTAGTTCTAGCTTCCAGTCAGATCAAGTAAAATTTTACATGATCACTTTTCAGACCAAAAGAAATGTACCATCTAGTACAATTATCAAACACAATTGCTTGATGCAATTCTACTAATTCAATTGGTAGAAACAACACTTTCCAGATGTATTTTTCAGAAACATTTAGATTTATTGTGAAGATAACATTAAGTCATTACTTAGATTAGGTGTTTTACATCATCAAAAATACAAGTTGTTTTGCAGATGGATACAGAATTAATATTTGTGCTTTTTCATATTAATCAGGCATATATTGCACATTTTTTGCAGTCTGTAGTAGCAGTTTAACCTCTGGCTCCAATTCTTTCCTTCAATCCAATTCTTGCTGGATTGTTATTTGGCTTCAACTGAAATTATTGCCCAGTTTATAGCAGATTTTTCTAAATTGATACCCTCCCAAATATGTTGGATAACGTTGTAGGCTGAAAATTATATGGTTTTTTTTTTAGCTTTAACATATCAAAGATGGCATTAACTTGGAAATGGTTAGTGAGTGGGAGAAATCTTTTGGTAAACATCTTTTTCAAATACCCCCATTACATTCCTGCTGGAATGAAGCCCACAAGGACTCATGAATATATATTTTAAAATACTTAATTCTCCTGTCCAAAATTATATATACCTTTTCCATTTGCTTTTAGAGGCTTCATTTGTGGACATGAGAGAACAGAACAGTGCAGGAAAAGACTTCTGTTTTCAAAGAATTTCAAAATGCTAGAAGTAACCTGTTGAGATGATCGACTTTCAAAATGAGATGCCCTTGTATGCTTCTACTGGTACATTCATTTAAAAATTAGTAATTTAACCCCTAGTTCCAACTCTGTAAGGAAAAACAATTGTGATTTATACAATGGTGAAGTGACAACTACTTGGTTTTCTCTTTTAATATGTGAATTCCTTTTTCCTTACTGGAGGACTGCAATGTGGCATTATTAAAACAGGTTCTAAAGTCTAAGAAAACCCCAATTCAAATGAAGCCCTTTGTGTTAGTGATTCCCTGGCTTTTCCAAATTAGCATCCTGAAACCATTTTGTGTTATAGCTTGCATCTCTCAACCACTGAGCTGATGTCATATTCAAAGATGAGTGATAGTACAGTACCTCAGTTCCTGAGGGTACGATTCAAGAAATTTTGCTACACCTGTCTTTCTGATACTGCACCACACTAATAGCTATGAAGTTGTTTCGGGTTTGTAATTTAAGGACAGCCCAGAGCAACTCTTCTGTTCACAGTTCTGTTTGATTTTTAACCAAAAGGAATTTTTGTGCAGGTTTTGCGTAAAGAGCATATTCTATGAAAGTAAGAGAGGTAATTTATGAAGAATAATGCTTCAGGAAGAGGAAGAATGTACCTAGCACTATGCAGTAACTTTTAAAAAGAATTCTCAAATTTTCAAAACTAAATGCCTTAAAATTTTGCTGTCAAATAGTCAAAAGCTTGGTTCTGAACTTGGTAGTATCTTTCCATAGCATAGGTGCTTTCTCCTTGGAGAAAAGAAAGTATATTTCAGATGATTGCCCAGCCAGGCGCTGTCTTGCAATGCTCAAATGACATGGGTGGGATGGGAAGCAGTAGCTGAATCATAAGAGATTGAGGGCAATGGGTTTAATCCTGCCCCAGAACACTTATATAAGTGCTTTCCAAATCCAGCATGCTGTGGCACCACTCCCAGGATTAACCTTGTTGACTCATGATTCTCCCGTGCAGATGTTCAGTCTCTGGTATGCAATCCGTTCAATGCTAAAGTGCTGCCTTCAATTGCTTTCTAGTGCAGGTAGGGAGATAGATGTATCTTGGAAAACAGTTTTGAAATCTAAAACTGTCCATATAAGGAAACATTTGTTTTTTTAAAGTACCAAGCTACATTCATCAACCTCAGATTTTTTAAATCACAGCTATTAGCTAATAATACCTAGCAATTCAAAATTTTGATTTGCAAGTATGAATGGGTGAATTATTTATTTTTAAATAGATGTGGGAAGCAAATAGTTATCTGGCTGTAATTTTGCAATTGGTAACATTCTGCATGAGCTCTAGCCTGCTCTGCTCTATACTTAAGTGACTTCTCAATCCTAGCATTATAGGCTTTGGTATAAAAAAACAAAACAAAACTGGTCTGTTTATTGAATCCCGGTGAAAAGCCCCAGGTAACTTATGTGGGGCAAAAAGAATGCTGAGTTCAGCTGTGTGGAGGGAAAATTAAGTACAAAGTATTTTTTTCTTAATTAATTTCTTAGGTCGGAACAATCCAAAAGCAACTGCCTTCCTTCCATCTTCAATCTCTACCTATATCCATGTTGTCCTGCAGTGATGGGAAGGGGGCTGCAGGGCAGCCTGTTTCATGAATGAAACTGCTTCTTCAAAATAGAAGATGTAATTTCTACCTAGAAGTGGAATTCTGTATGTGGAATGTAGTAAGAAAAAACTAAAAATAGAGGCATTAGTGAATTGTTTTCCCCCCTTCCTTATAAAAAACGTCATGCCAAACCCAACAACATTCAATCATTGATTAGAGAACAGTATCATGTCTGGGAGAAGTCTGGGGTGGAACACTTCCCTCCATCTGCAAGTTTTCTTTTTGAAGGGGGGAACATTCAGTCATATTGGAAACAATGCAGTCCAGGTGGATGTTTTCATACTCATGAAACATAGTGAACATATTAGTAAAACCAGAAGTGTAAGGTGTGCTGAATTTTCATGATGGTTAAACCTGACTCAAATACTGGAAAATCCAATATATTCAATAAATTTCTAAAATCCAATCTATCATGCTCTGAACTTCAGTGAAAGTTCAAATAAAAATGTTTAAAACTAAAGCCCTTTTAAAACGTTGTCTCATCAGTAATTACTTCTGAACTTAAGATTTAAGAGCACATATTCAAAATCCCCTAATAACTATGTTTTGAAACAGTTCTCCAATTGCAAAAACTGTTTTAAAGGGAATTAAAAAAGAAACACAACAAGCTATTCATTCTCCCAGAGTTGTAATAGATACAGGATCTGAAAAATAGTGACTAATAACAATGGAAAATTGGGGGAGGGGGGAGTGTAATTTAGCTATGGCAGTTATGGAAAAATTTCTACTTGGAAAGCTTCCTATAGAATTTATGTAGAGAATTGTATTATTGCTATTAGAAAGGGGAATAGAAGAGAGATTGGATATGTTCACAAGACTCGTTAAGCTAAACCATTTGCTATGTAATGTATGCATGTTCCATTTTAGCCCACTTTTGTGACTTGTAATACATTTAAAGTCTGAAACAACTGTCATTTAGTTTTTCTGGGCTTGTAATCTTCTTTGGTTCGGAAGTTGTAATCTTCCTTGGTTAAAAGTCTCCATTTCTCAAAATGTCAAAAATCATGTTCAAAATATAGTTAAAGTGACTTCTGTTGCCATACTCCTGTTGTAATCTAATGTTAACATCCTTGACCTGTAACAGAAAAAGGCTATGGCTGGAAATGATGGGTAGAAGTTGTTGACTTCCTGATTTAATCTGCTTCTATCATAAAGACTGAAAGACTAATATTGAATATACTATAGCTTATATAGAATAACAGCAAAGCAGCATCTTATCCTAGTGTTGTCCAGATCATTGGGAATTTTGCAACTTGGAAACTCATCACAACTGATTGCCACCAGCTTTGGAAAGGTTGCAGGGAAGAGGAAGAGTATCTCTAAGCACCAAATTTGGTAATCAGAGTAACCTGCCAACATCCTTGGTATGCAAGAAACATAAGGCTTCCTGTTGAGGGGGTAGTGATTTGCAACAACTTTCAGGTTTCCTTATATCAGACTTGCATCTCCTCTCAGGGAGTGTTTGTGTATGTGTGGTTGAAACTTGGACCTTGAGATGAGCTCTGGGTGTTGCTAACAAAGTGTTATCAACTGTGTCTCTCCAAGGGCAGATGTTGGTACAAGCAGGCTCTGCATCTACCATGAATTTAGAAGGAAATGCCTCTTTTGCAAATGTGCAAATGATGGAAAGGTCTTGCCATCCTTTCTTAGTGTTATGTTCCTTGAAGTGTTTGATAATTCATCAGTCCAGCCAAATCTTTCAGATTCCTGTGTTAGAAACAGCAAAAGCTTTTTAAAAAACCTTCCGGCAAGAGAACAATCGGGAGACATAAAGCATGCTGCTGTTGCTATTGCTGCTATAACCATACACAACTTCTCACACACAGTCTAATTTCAAAGCTATATGTGGAAACATTGTAGAGTCTCAGAAGCCAACTGGATCTCCATATTTCCCCTGTTTCTTAACCCTGCCCTAGCCTAACCCCTAATTGGTACCTCACATTTCCAAAGAGACTTCCTTACCCCAATGTCAAGGAGGAGGCTTAATTATGGGATGCTATCAGGTGAAAGTTGCTCAGGCAAGAATGGCAGGAGGTGGTGAGAGAGAGATATGCTTCTCTGTCAGACATGGAGAAAGATGAGCAAGATGCAGGAATGCAGCTGCACGTGTTAATTATAGTTTCATATGCCAATACTAGCGGTCTTCCCACTTGCAAGGAAGGAAATCTTAACCTACAGAGTTACCTCAGAAGCCATTTCTTGCATACTTGAACAGTGACTGTTTGCATTACACAGGAACAGTCATAAAGTATTGACCAGAAGAAGTGCAGTATTAATGCATAGGCTGTATTCTCAGAACATAGCTAATTAGCCAATTACATCTTAGATTAATCTGTGTTTTCAACCCATAGGAACTGTTTATGGTTCTGGATGTCGAGTGAATTCAGAAAATTGAATTAA